TTGCGGACCCACATAACTCTGGTTTTATACAAGTTACATTGGTTGCCAGTTGAAGCCTGGGCCCAATTTAAAGAGCTTGTCTTGACATATAAAGTCCTAAATGGCTTAGATACCTAAAGGACCACCTTCTCCCATATATCCCTAACCTGCCCATTAAGATCTGGGCAAGAGGTCCTTCTAAAAGAGCCGTACCTCAAGGAGGTGAGAAGGGCAGCAAACAGAAGGACCTTCTCAGTGATTGTCCCCAGTTTAAGGAACAGGCTCCCCACAGAAATTCACCCGGCACCAACTTTGTTTTATTTCCGGCAGCAGGAAAAAACATTTCTCTTTCCAGATATTTGAACTGGAATAATTGATTTTAACAACTGTCTTTAAGTATTTATATACTGAATTATATGGTTGTTCTCCTCAATTGTTACATTCTTAAATGGCCATTGCTATATTATTGTTGTTGTTGTACATGATATGATAGTTTTATTGTTTTAATAGCTGCAATCTTGATTACTGTTGTAAGTCACTTAGAGATTCCTATTGGAATAGTTAGTGGCATACAGGTACAATAAATAAATAAATAAATAAAATGACTTGAGTATACAATGTGGCCAATATTTTGAGCTGGTCTTTTTGGTGTTTGTCATATGTCAGACATATAAGATGACCTCCAATTTTACTTTGCTATTTCTGGTTTAAAGAAATTTAAGAATTTCTTAAATGCCAGTATATACAGTTACATGTCTAGCAAAAGCAGCAAATATTTCTAGGAAAAAAACACAGCTATCTCTAGAATCTTCAAAGCCATTGAAGGACAAAACTTGTGAAACCTGGCCAGTGCTGAGACTTCATCTGGCATATATGATGACCACCAAGTTTTGGCTTCCTTCTGGTTTCAAGGGTTGTCTTGTAAGCCAGTATATATGGTATGGTATACCTCATTCAGCAAATAAAAACATTTTTTGGATGGTGTATTTTGGACCTTGGTGTATTTTGGATTACTTCAACAAACCATACTTAGCATTAACTCTGCACAAGGATTATAACAGTACGAGCCTTAACTATGCAAGCAGTCACATACTTAACTCTCTGCCACCGTGTTATGAAAAGTCTTTCAGATTCAATATAGAAAAGAACACCCTTTAAAATCCCAGGAAAATCTTCACTTTGACTTACTTCTACTCTCACTTCTCTGTGTTTGCTTAAATGATCATTCAAGTTTCAGTTTTGGATTTGTTTTAGTTTCTACAGGCACTGCTTTAAAAGGATGTAAATATTTGCTCAAACATTACATTCTGAAGACTTTCTTCAAATTATGGTTGAAGTATACACATAAACCACCATTTTAAACAGATACAAAATCAATTAGTTTGCAAATATTGACCCTTTTTAGAAAAAAAAACTCCAGTCAATTTACTATAAATATGTTATAATGCAAGCACAGGAATAGCAGCACAGAAACATATTTCACAATGATTATCTATACCCATGTATTTACTCCAAAATATTACTTGAAAGGTAAAGCACTGTTAAAACCAAAGCCATATGAAAAGAGGTACCAAAGCATTTGTCTTCCCTACATTCTAGAAAACCATTTTCTCAAATCTATAACTACAATAAAGGCTATCAAATTCTGTTGCATAGTTGGATTTTATAGCATACAAAATCAAGTGTGTGTGTGTACTTGAGCTAACTCAATGGGACTTCACAAAAATTTTAATTGACATCCATTTTGTTCTTCCTCTCTTTACATGCATCATGGTTAACAACTAACTTGATACTGTTTCCAAGAAAACAATATTATCCTAGCCCATATTTTCCATAAAGAATTTTAATAAACAAGGCATCATGTTAAGGCTGCAATCCCATGCATGCTTACTGAAACTCAGTGGAAATTCCAGGCAAAGAAAAACATAAATGCACAGAAAGGAGTTACGAATATGACTTAGGAGTTATGAGATGCAGAAAGAAAAAGTGCAGAGTCCTGTTTTTGTAATTAATATTGCATTGCTTATTTTACTTCGCAGCATTACTGGAACCTCCTTATTATCCATTCCTCTATTTTTCCTTTCATTTAAATTCAGCTTTTAAATATTGTGGATAAAGTTAGGATACACTCAGACAAGGCATTTTTGCAATTGCCCGCCTCAAAGCTGGAACCATTCAAGAACCTCTACCATTTACAATCCTCTTGTTTTCCCACCACTTCTTGAATCTTTTTTCTCCCCACAAAAAGTAATTAAGGGAATAATCCTATTTTCCCTATACGTGGTCTGAGGGATCCTTTCTCAGCTGCTAGCTTGGTGACAGTGCTCCAACCTCAGAGCTGGAAATCCAAGCATAGATTGTCTTGCTCCTCCAACAGACTTGCCCAGCCTCCTACCCTTGAGATATTTTATACTGCAGATGGCATGGAAGGAAGCACAAATGACCTTGGAAGGGAGGAAAGAGGGGAAGTAGAGAGAGAAAGGTGAGGAAGAGGGGGAGAGGAGAGACACTTCAAAAGAAGCTGGCCAGGAGCAGGGAACCAGGCCACACTGGGTACTCCTCCCGTCTGGGGGGGGGGGAGGGATTATGGCAATTTCTTATTATTATTGATATTATTCATTCTGTTATGTATCATATTGTGTTACGCACTGATATTACGTATTGCATCATGCATTATACTGTTGTATTAAGGTTTCTTTTTGTATCGCTTACTGTTAAATATTGTACAGCCTGAGTGGGTTGCTCAAATGTATTATTGTGTTTTTATGGAATATGGGTTTTGTTTTGTTTTTGTTCTATTGTAAGCTGCCCAGAGATCCCTATGGGCTATGGGGCAGCATACAAATGCAATAATAAATGAAATGGCAGCCAGGCAGCCACTCCAGTCTCTTTCTTTCCCTCTCGAGAAAATGTTACTGGACTACTGAGGTCAAAAATGCAGAGCAGGAGCAGTGGGGAGGCAACCATCACCACTGTCACTCCTTCTGCTCTGTACTGGCTGAGCATAAACCTCTGGTCTGGAGGCTCCTTCTTCTCTCCACTGGATAGCACCCTAGGAAGGGGAAGAGGGAACACGTGTACAGCACTTTTTGAGCATTAGGATGTCACTTATGAACTGGCTGGCTTAACCCAGCCTTCTCCAACCTCATGTCTTGTGGTTGTCAACGCCCATGAGCTGGAGCCAGCATGGCCAAAATCCTAGGAGTTGCAGTACAAAACCTCTGCTGGGTAGCAGGTTGAGGAAGTCTGTTCTATCCTGTGCAAGAAAAGTTACTCAGGAGAAGGTATGAGAAGAGGCAGCTTGATTTGCTGAGGAGCTGAATAAAAATTAGGGCCTCTTATTCACCTTTCATAATGGAAATTGTATATGCACATGATTGATTAGAAAGAAGGGATATTAATTTGCATTATTACTGCAGGGCTATGACCTTCAAACTGCATTTTTTAAGCTCCAATTTGTTATTACAGTCTTTTTGGTTTGGAACTAAAGTTGTCTGGAGAGGAGTAACTCTGAAGTATCCAGCGTTGTAGAATGCAATCCAAAGCAAGTTCAGACCAAAAAATAAAACCCTACAGTTCTCAGTACTCCCCAACCAGCCTGAATGGTTGAAAAATATTGGGATTTGTATGTCTTCTTTAAAGGATTGTGCCCTGTGACCCAAAGGGACATTTCAAGTGGTTGACTACAATATTTTGAAAACATGAATTACATTCTCGTGTTCAACAGACTATTTATGTACTTATCTCTACAGAGCCAATTGCTTTGTCTAACTGTGGTTCAAGCTAATTTTTTTGCAGGGCCAATCTTTGCAGGTTTCTTCTAAAACAGGAAGAGATTAGTCTGTAAGCCTTCAAGTGCTAAAAATGCAAGCATCATCTATCTACTTGCTTAATACTGAACTTTTTAGTGCAATACTATGTCATCCTCTACAACTCGTATTTGTTTATGTGCAAGGCCAGTGGCATGCTCTAAGCAAATTATGTTTTTACAAGCAACCCAGATGGGAGGAGGGGTCACTTGGAATTGCAAGAATCCTTATGATGAGAATCCAAAAATGGTTCATTTGTTTTTGAAGGTATGTTTTGATGTATGTTATGTAACAAATTCACTGGTCTGCTCTAAATTATACATAACTCAAAGTTTCGCTTAACATGCTAAAATATCTGCTAGAGCTATCTCACTTTCATTTATGCATCACTGCAGCAGATTTTCAATCCACATTATTGATTGAATCTTTAAACAAAAAACCACTATTGCCAAAACGATTCCCAAAATATGGGAGCCATGATTATTCCCGTGTTTCCTCGTCCTCCTCAAGTGATAAATCAGGCATTCTGGCTGGACTGAAGGTAAACATTCCCTGACCTAGGAGAATTAAGGACGGAAGGACCGCAATCGCTTTGTATACGATTACAAGCTTGCAAGAGAAGGTGGGCGTGCGGATTGCATCCAGCATGACCGATGGGCAAGAAATGGGTTTTTACACCTATGCATGTTGCTCTTTCAGTCAGATAGTCCTATCACAAGGGAAAGGATCCGGCCTCCTGAAATGCCACGGAGAGGACTCGCTCTCCATAAAATGTGGCAATTAAGATGCCAGCGCAGTAAGTGAGGAAGTGAACAAACCGCGCAGAAGGAGCGTAGATTAGCCACACCCATATCCGTGAATTTGCACAGCTGAGCCCTGGGAGGCACCCCAAAGCTAATGCCTGAAGCTGCCTCCTCTGACAGCCAAGTCCAAGCAAACAAGCTTTGCAGAGGCGCTTCCTCCGCCTCCGGTCTGTCCGCCCCCGCCTCTTCCCTTCCCTGATGTATTGTGCGGTGCACGGGAGGGGGAGGCCGACAGACAGGCAGGCAGAGAGCCTTTCTACGAGCAGAAAAGCTCAGCTATTCTCTGCCCCGCAACCTCCTAGTTCTTCCGGCTGCTCCCCAGAGGAGCTGATGGGGTTTCGGTACGTCTTTCCCCCCGAAGGCGCACTGTTAATGCCGCGTTCGCTTCCTTCGCGGCAAAGAAACCCACCTGAAGAGAAGGTGGGTGGGCGGTCCGGATCTTCTCAGCCCAGGCGGGTCGGGCGTCTCTGGCCGCCGGGCTGCTTCTCCGCAAGGATGCCCACAGGAGAGCCTTCCATGGTCCCCAGAAACAGGCTGGCAGCGGCTGAGCAGACGAGCCGGAGCGCCGGGCGGGAAAGGGCAGCCGCGCCGAAGCAGAAGCCTTCAGCAGCGCTCGGGCGGCTGCAGCTGCGGCAGCGTGGCCGGCCCTCCGGAGCTCCCCGCCGCCCGCTGGCCACGCAAGGGCGACTGCCGCAGCGCCAGCATGGTCCTCGGCGCGGAGACGCAGCCCTGCGCGCACACGAGCACAACAAACAGCCTTCCCCGCGGGCTCGGCCGACAAAGCCCGGCAGGGGACGCTTCGCGGCGGCCGCGCTCGCTCGCTCGCCCCGCCTCCCCCTGCCCGCCGAGCCCGGCTCCGCCCACCGCGCCTCGCCGTGTGGCCGGCCAGGCGCGGTGCCTTCCGCCGGGGAGCGAGCGTCGGCCGCTGCCGGAGCTTGGCGGCCGGGTTTCGCTAGCCACCTCGCCTCCTCTTTTCACCCCGAAAGCCGAACGATACGTCAGTCTGTATCTAAACTCCGTGCAACTATAGTACCTACTGCATCTTCATTGTCGGCTTTTATGCTGACACCGCAATCCTATTTCAGTTTAGGCAGAAAAAGGGCCTGCCATTTCCAGAAAAGGTGGCTGGGGCATGCTGGAAGTTATAGGCCTGTTTGTTTGTTTAAACTAGCTCAACGTTATGGCCTAAGCCACTTTGTGTAGTTACAGCTTCCTAGTAGCCAATCCACAGTTTGGCTAAGGCTTATTTGTAGCAAATTCTGTAACATTTTTCATATGGCTACTTTTTCTTGACCCAGATAAGCCTTGGCTGCAAAATCTACAGGAAGTACCATTTTCAAAAGCACTTATTTTTGTGCACCACTTAAAGAAAAAGGGAGAAAGTTATTCTCTTTACTCTTTTATTGAAGGAGTGCTGAACTTTGCTGGTAAAACCGTACCTGTTGAATTCCTGCATGTGTAGCTGTTAAAGTCACAAAGCCATACAATTGTATCCTCCTTACAGTAGACCCATGGAAATCAATGAGACTTCAAATAGATTCAACCCATCATCAATGTATTTGATTATGGAAAATTTAAAAAGTGAGGCAAATTATATATCTGGTTTGGTTTCACATTGCAATTCTTAGGATTGTCTCCAAAACCGCTGGGACATTGGGACAAACAGCATGGAAGGCATTCTGGTTTTAGTTAACAATTCTGGTGGTTCACAGATGTGTGACTCTAGAATCTCTTAATTGTTTATGGGTTAAAGCAATCTAGAGTTCACTTGCTTATCTATGCAATTCCCTGGCTGGACAATCCAAGAATTGCTACCTTGTCATGCAAACTGCTCAAAACAACTTCTAGGGCTGGGAAGTGACATTGGAAACCCATTCGAAGGTTGAACCTTTGTTTTTCCTGTTGTAGCTAGTTTTTGCTGCAAGATACAGTACCCAAATAACTCAACCTAATTCAAACTCTAATAAGATAAAATAGTATATCAGAAGTCAGCAAAGGATTGGTGTTGGAAGTTTATGAAGGACCTTGAGAAAGGGAGGTGAGGAGAACTTTTTGAGATGGTCTGCTTGATATTTCCCCTTCATTTCCATTCTGTGCATCTGAACTGTTCTGTGTCTTTGTGTTTCATGTAGGCCCTTTTTCTGTCTAAAAATACGTAGGGTTTCACCTTCCATCTAAAAATAGATGCAACCCATACTTTGAAATGGGGGCAAGGAGAGAATCCATTAGCATCTTAGGGCACAATCCTATGGAAGTTTAGACAGGAAAACCATCCTGCATCAGAGTTGGAAGCTTTTTTCCCCCTGTGTAAACTTACATAGAATTATACCTTTATATATCCAGTGTCCAGACAATTTTTAGCATAGTTTATGGCAGCACCCATACAGAAGAGAGAGCTATCTACAGATTTCACAGAAAGAGACCAATCACACAGAAACACACAGATAAGGAGAAATGTCATTCAAAGAGAAAACTTTCCCCATTGAAAACTGAAACATATATAATTAATATGAAGGCCCATGGACTCATTTTCTCCCACATTAGAGATGTGACTAAGGAGCTGCCAATGCTTGTAATGCCTGCTTTCACATATCCCTTCCCATCTATGTGGGAACAAAAGATAACAACAAGCTGAGCTTTGAAAAAAATAGCATCAGGCTTTGGAAAGGAGACTCAAGAATTTTGAGGCCCAGATAGTTTTCATCCATCCTTCCCATACTTGGAAGAGGAATAGAAGGGGAAAGAAAAATGCTCCAAGTGAATGCCTGGCTACCAAAGTAGTGCTGACACAAGAGATTTGGATTCTGGAACCACAGGCTACACTTCCTGGCAGAGGGACAGCTGCCAAGGATGGGTTGCACCTTACAAGGACTGGCACAAATGATTTTGGCCACAGCATGAAGAAATTCATCAAGAGGGCTTTAAATCGAATCCTAGAGAAGTGAACTTGGAGCTAAAAATGGACAAAAGCTTATGCCCCACAACAGAGAGAACAACTCTAAAAGCACCCAATAATATTCTTCCAAAAAGGAAGAGGAAAGCGAGCATGCAGTCTTCAATGTCTATATACTAATGCCTCGAGCATGGGAATCAAACAGCATGAATTTTAACTCTTAATACAGGAGGATGGAATATGACCTGATTTGATGGGATAATTTCGTGACTGGAATTCAGCAACTGAAGGATATAATCTGTTGAAGAAGAACAGAAGAAACAGAATGGAAAGCAGCAACATGTTATAAGTTGAAAATAACAGAAGTACAAGGGGTTTTGCTCAGTAGCCCCACTGGCAACACCTGGATTAAAATAAAAGGAGCAAAGAATAAAGGAACATGGTGAACAGAGTCTAATATTGACTACCCAGTCAAGGAAAAGATGAGGATGTAACTTTTAAAGAGCTGTGTTTCAATGAAGCATGATGCAATAGCAACAGGGGACTTTAATTTCACTGATACTTGTTGAGAGAGCAATCTGCCAAATGTAGCCTCTCCAAGAAATTCTGACTTGTAATTTCATCCTTCAAAAAGTGGATGAAGGAACTAGTGGATCAATTTGACTTTATGCTAATCAACAAGGATCGCCTATCCGATAAAGTGGCAAGAACAGGAACTCTGGGGAAAGTAACCAGTAACTCTCAGAACTACTTTCTATTTTTATTTAGTTACAGTGGTACCTCAGCTCACAAACGCCTCAGTTCACAACAAATCAGGTCACGAACAGAAATTTCAGAAACATTTTGCCTCAGGTCACAAACTCCGCATTGGGTGATGCGTCTTCCCTGCAAGAGTGCAACCGCGATCGCGCCAGCCTTCCCTGCTGTGATAGCAGTTGTGCTTGTGCAGGAAAGATGGGCTTGATTGCGGTCGTGCTCAGGGTAAGGGGAGATGGCCGCGATCTTTGTTGTTCTTTGTCACTTTGTTTCAAATTTTGGTGATAAAAAATGGTTACAGAACGGACTGACCTTATTTACATTGAACCTTATGGGGAAATTTGACTTGGGTCACTACCAATTTTGGTTGTGACCAGAGTTGTGAAACAGATTAAGTTGATGAGCCAAGGTACCACTGTAGTTAGTTACTTAGTTGGTTAGTTAACACTTTTGCATATCATCACAATAGCCACATGACTCTCTGGACTCATGTGGAGAAAAACTATCAACAAAATTCAATAACATTGTCTAGTGATTTTGAGAAGCCATGGAAGAGGTATGAACTGTCAGAAAAGTGGAAGAGTGCTAATGTTGTCTCTATTTTCAAAAGAGCATGAGAAGAACACTGGGAAACATAGACCAGTTAGTCTGTCATCAATTCATGAGAAAATTCTGAAACAGATAATAAAGTAATCAGTCTGCAAGCACGTTGAAAATAATGCAGTAATTATTAGAAGTCAACATGTCAAATCCTGCCAGACTAATCTCATCTCAATTTTTGATCAGGTAACCTGTAGGAATGCAGTGGACATAATATCTATTGACTTCAGTAAAGCTTGTGACAAAGCACCCCATGAAGTCCTGCTTAGCAAACTAGCTAAAAGTGACTTGGAACAAAGTGGATTCTATTAGGCAGATCCACAGAATAACAATCAAGGAGTGCTTATCAATGGCACCTTCTCTAAACAGAGAGAGGTCACAACAAGCGGAGTGCAGCAAGGTTCAGTCCTGAGCCCCATGCTCGTTCCCATTTTTATTAATGATTTGGATGAGGAAGCACAGGGAACGCTTTTCAGAAATGCAAATGACACAAAATTGGGTGGAATAGCTAACACCCTGGAAGACAGAAACAATTCAAAGTGATCTTGATAGTGCTGGTTTGAAAACAACAGATTTAAATTTGGTAATGCACAGATCTGCACCTAAGAAAAGGATACCAAATATATAGTTACCAAATATATAGTTACCAGATAGAGGATACTTGGCTCAACAACATAAGTGAGAAGGATCTTGGAATTGTTATAGATGACAAGCTGAATGTGAACTAACTGTAATGCAGCTGCAAAAAGGCAAATGCTATATTGGGCTGTATTAATAAAAGTATCACTTCCAAATCATATCAAGTACTAATTGCTCTCTATTCAGTACTGGTTAGGCCTCATCTTGATCACTATGTCTTAAACTGGGCACCATAGTTTCAGAAAGATGCAGACAAACTTTAAAAGTTTCAGAAGAGGACAACAAGGATGATCCGGGAATGGAAACAACACTCATGAAAAGAGATTGAAAGAATTGGACATGGAAAAAAGAAGACTGAGGAGAGATATAATAGCACTCTTCAAGTGCATGAAAGGATATTCCAGAGCAGGGAGAAAGGATCTCCTTTTGATCATCCCAGAGTGCAGGACAATGAATAATAGGATCCAATTACAGGTAGCCAGATTTCTGCTCAACATGAGGAAAACAATTCCTGCCTCTTGGAGTAATGCAACAATACATTACCTGGGGAGGTCTTGGCCTTCCCACATTGGAGGCATTCAAGATGCAGCTGGCCAGCCATCTGAGAGGAATGCTTTAATTTGGAGTCCTGCACTGAACAGGAGGTTAGACCCAATAGCCAGATGGCCTCTTCCAACTCTACTATTCTATGATTCTATGACATTGAGGGTGGTGGGATAAAATATACATGAACAGAAGCTCTCAACACTGCAAAATCTTATTGCAGGTCCCATTTGACCTACCACTCCCCATTACATATTTAGCCCCCTCATTATTAATAGATATTATCTATTATGTTGCGAATTTCAACTCCCACAAGCAACAGTCAGCACGACCAGTGGTCT